GTGTACATATTCATGTGAACGCTGGTGTATGCGGCGCCCAATGGCGAGCAATTAACCATTACCAACTAGACCAGTTCGGGCGGCTGGTCTAGAAACCGGTTTAATTAAAATCAGGTGCAAAAGAAAGTGAACCATTTTCAGCTATATATACTATATCTTTCTCTCTCTCTCTCTCTCTCTCTATATATATATATATATATATATATATATATATATATATATATATATATATATATATATATATATATATGTCTAATAATCAACATTAATTGTGGCCATTGTGCCGCAGTTTTCATTGTTTGGCCGTCAAGAAAATAAAATGCCGGCAGAGTGTAGGAAAATATATTAGAAAAAAAAAGAGTTTCATCAAAATTTATGGGTAACTGCGTTTTGTTCGGTGATTTACCGTTTAATGCTTTATGTGCGCGTGTGTGTGTCGGTGTGTGTGTGTGAAAATGCCGCTTCGATTGGAAAGTGGTCTTTTTCCCAAGCCAAACAAACGCCCGAAAAACGCCGCTTTTGATAGCTAATTTAAAAAAGAGCTGATCGACAAAAAAAAACCGCTAAAAAAAAAAACGAGTTGTGAAAGAAAAGTGAAAACTGTGCGACAATTCGCTTTTCCATTTCATTTGTATTGGGCATCGATACGTTAATGGCTTATTAATGAAATATGTGGCACTGCCCCAAGCATATCAGGTGGCAAGTGGCACACCCGCCTCGCCCCTCGCCCCTCGCCCTGCGCTGCACAGCCAAAATGCGGCGCCGTTAATTGCAAATTGGCTGTGGCAACAACTGCTGCGGCTGCGGTTGTGGCTGCGGCTGCGGCTGCCGGCATTAACATTAATTAAGCGCTAGCGGAGCGTGCAACATGCGCTGCCACACGTTGATGCCACTTTCTATGGCTTACATATTTGGGCCTGCCGACTCTCGGCTTAAGTAGATCCCCGCCAGGCCGGCGCATTTAATTGGGTGCAGCGGCAGCGGGGGCAGCTGCCACATGCAAAACAGTTAGACGCGACGGCGTCTGCTGCGCTGCTTCTCTCTCTCCCTCTCTCTCTCCCTCTCTCTCTCTCTCTCTCTCTCTCTCTCTCTCTCTCTCTCTCTCTCTCTCTCTCTCTCTCTCTCTTTCTCATATAGACATCAATATATTGATATATGCATATATATTCCTGTTCAGAGCAACAAAAATGTTTAGATAGTGCCAATTGTTGAGCTTCATGTTCTTCATGCTTTTCCACCTGATTCCACCTGAGTTGGGCTTAAGTTGGGCGTTAGGTTTTCAAAATATATATATAATATGCCTTTAGCTTTTCTAGTTCTTCTTCGCAAGGGTATTCAAAGTTCGGCTTTTTCTTGTATTCCATTATTTGATAAGCTGCGCGTGCAACAACAACAACAACAACAACATGCGCTCAGGTGTTCTTTACAGTTAACCATATTGTAATCTGTTCTGTGCACACGGTTCCCGCGGCCAATTAGCCAAGTTAAGAGTGAAAAGCGCTGCCCAAAAAAAAAGAGAAATTAATCGGCCGCAAATTAAAGACAACAAACAAAATCAACAAAAATCTACAAAATAAGGTAGTAAAAAAAAGTGTGTAAACTTTATAGGTAGACAATTTACCGTTGTTAAATCGCATTTCCATTGATTCGTTGTCGTTGTTGTTGTTGTTGTTGTTGTTGTTGTTGATGTTTTAAACAATTTACAGTTCTGCGCGCGATTCTGACCGCATTTTTGCGCTTCAATTCAAAGGCAACAACAGCAACAACAAGAACAACAACGACAAGCAACAACAATGGCATGTGGCAGCTGCCAACTGTATCTGTATCTGCATTTTGTATCTGTATCTGTAGCTTGTATCTTGTATCTTTTATCCAGCAGCTGCTGCCCATCTGGCTTATTGTGTGCCCGGCTTTTGTTCGAATACGGCCCACAAATCGATTAAAAGCCGCTTCGCGCACACAATTTCGATTTCATTTTCACCTGTTGTTACCAGCGAAACCCGCTGCCCTCCCCTCCCGCGTAAGCTCCAACTCCATTGGCGGTAAAAGTGTGCAAATACAGGTAATCATAAAAGAGAAAAATAAACACAACTACGCATAGCTGGACTTGATTTTGTTTGTGCTTTGCTTTTATTATTATTGCTCCAATGTGGGCTGGTCCGTTGCTCTGTTTGACTGACTGACTGATTGACTGACTGATTGATTGATTGATTGCTTGCATGACTCACCATATGTCGGTGAATTGTCTTTCAAATTTCTGAGCAACGGCAGTGAAAGTGCGCCTGCTGCTTGATCAATAGAAATTTGAGAACTGAACAACTTCCTGACAAAAATATTTGGCAATTTTTTAGCTCTTTTAGAAAACCTCGCAAGAGTTCAAACTTTTGCAAACTTTTGTGCATAAGACTCAGTTTTAAACAGATTTTAAATTGAGCTTAATTAGTTGCCTCAAACTTGGCTGATTTCCCACTCTAACTGCATCATGTCAACTTTTTAAGTTGTGTTTAAACATTTTTCGAAATATTTTTTTAGACTCTTCGAACTCTTCGAAATGTTTTCCAAAAACTTGCAACATTTCAGGCGCAATATCAAATCGTTCTTGAATTGATTCCTAGATTAATTTATCCCCAGATTTGTTGAACATTTCAACTGGTTCAGGTACTGTATTCTCTTCCCTATATATGTATCTCTTATCTCAGGACTTCTTCTTACTCTCTTTACATTTTCTGCCATGTCAGATCTGTGCATTATCTCTTGATTATCTAAATTGTATTGATGTGCTTATTTTTATAATTTCTTTTGTAATTTTTTATTTATGTTCAACTGAAGTTCGTTGAAATTATGCCCGCACAATATCATAAGCCAAATTGCTTGGCCAGCTCACGCTTTTGGGGCGTTAACACTATTCGCGGCGCTGTTTTTGGCAACGGAGCAAGCAGCGGGAATTGGGCTGTGGCCCCTGGCCTGTGGGCCAGTGGCCCCCACTTGATCCGAGAAACGGGTTTCAATTTTGGGTCCACTAAAATTAGCCGCCTTGTCGTTTATTAAATTTCAGTTTGTTTATTGCTGCCTGTTCAAAGCGGCATCGAGCCCCAAAGATGTGCCACAGACAATTTGGTTGGATCCGTTGCAGGAATTATTTGGGTATGCCAATGAACGAGATGCTGAGACATGGGAAATCTTTTCCTTAAACCTGTTTCTTGACATTCCGAAGTTTGCACATTTCAACCATTACGATAACTATCGATAACTTTCGCTAATTGCAACCATAATATGATATTTAAAATATCGGTTAATCGTTTATCGCTTTTCGATTTGTCCACAAATGGAACCTTAAGCAGGCATCGACTAATTATTTATACGGGAAAAACACTGCAATTTATACAATTTCATGTCCTTTTTGCATTTCTATACAATAACTAGCGATAACTATCGATAAATATCATATAGCTTTATAAGTGCAACCCTTGCTGTCTGCACAATTTATCAAGTTCGATAACTTTCGATAACTCTCTATATCAATCGATCCCATCATAATTTCTAGCAACTTGTAGCTACGTATTTGCACATTCATTTCGCAATCACGCTTATCGATAACCATTCAGATTTCTGCCTAATGATCAATTTTGATAACTCTCTATATCAATCGATCCCATCATAGCAACTTGTAGCTAAGTTTTTGCCCAATCATTTCGCATTCAAATACTTACTTTAAATAGTTTATCGCTTATCGATAACTGTACAAGTGCAATCCTTGCAGCGTTCGACTAATTTTTGCGGCTCGCTTTTCCAACCTCGCCGTTTTGTGGGTCACGACGAACTGGACCAAGCGTGAGAGACAGTCAAAATGCATTTCGCACTTGGCATTCGCATTCGTCAAGCTCTCCCAGCACATTTTCGCAATTGGCCAATTTCTTTTCATTAGCCGCATTCGCCACGCCACCCACTCAGCCACTCACGCCAACTCTCGCCTGCCACTAAGTGGCTGTTGCAAGGTGCCGCACAGTGGGTCAGAATGCGCAAATCTTGCCAGCAAAAAACAATAATATTGTTTCTCTATTAAAAGGCAATTGCTTGCTTGAAGAATTAAATTAAAAGACTTGGGTGTATTTTTATATGTCAAGTTTCTATTCGGTTCATTTATAAATGAAAACTTCAACAAATCATGTTGTATAATATATGAAATTATAATGAAATATGTATATAAAATATTATGTGATTGTTTATTATTTGTTTATTCGTTGAGCAATTATTAAGTGCCTATCAGAGATAGATTCGCATTGGGTCTGGTCAGTTCTGAACGACCTCACAATCTCTAAATGCATTATTGCGACTTCGATAACAGTGTGCACTTGATATTTTCATTTATTTTAAATGTAGCACAAACATCATCATGCTGACACTTAATAGACCCTTTCTTATCTCAGCTCTTGAGCTTCGAGTCGTTTGTTGCATAACACATTCATTTATAAGCTAACTAACTTTTCAGTAAAAATGCTTCACTTGGATATTCCAGCCTTTAGAAATTGGAATCTTTTAAAAATTTCAATCGAAATATGTTCTTTTTGGAGTTTCTTTTAGAGACCCCATAAGAGTATCCAATATAAATTTAATTCAATTTCAAATACATACAGTGTATCAGAAATAGAAATCTATTTACTTTAGCGACTACGAAACTTCATGGAGTTCTTAAGATTTCAAATCTTTTAAAAGATAAAGTTATAAAGATAAAGATTTAATAAGGAATTTAACGATGTTAACCGGGAAGTGTTCGTCGCACGGTTAAAGCTCAATTGAAATTCTGTTTTTCGTTGCACTAACAACCATATTGAACCACTGTGCGGCTCTGCGCCGTTCAAGCCAGAGCGAATAACAGATGCGACAGACACTTGCCCCGCCATTGTGATGACATTTTGATGTACGGCATATGCTTTGAATCTGATTATTTAACCAGATCTTCTTGTTGTTCTCGCTTTCTTTTGCAGATATAGCCGCAGCGCCCACATCGCCAGCATGTGGAGCCCACAAAAAGGTCCTACACGGCTGTGGGACCTTAGATTTAGTAGCTGTATATTTATTTTACATTTAATGGTGAGTACAATTTGAAACTAAATAAAAATTAAGTTTGGGAAAGAGAAAAGCTGTATATTTTATGAATATATATTTATTTACACGAGCAATAAATAAAGTATAGATTCTATACGAATCTTATAATAGTGTTCTTATATGGAACAAAGTATATAATAATACAAATATTTTGTTAGAAGGCATATAAGTATTATATATGTGTGTGTATGTATGTGTGTGTGTGTGTGTGTGTGTGTGTGTGTGTATGTGTGTGTGTTAGTGTATGCATGCATGTATGTATGAATTTATGAAGATATGTGTGCATCCATGTTTCTAATAGCAAACGCAAATTTAAATAAAACGAATTTCTGCCAAGAGCTCTTCTCCTCGATTCTCAAGAATTGAAGTAGGCCCGGCAGTTTCTCATGCTTAGCTAGTAGTGTAGGGATTTTTGTTGCTATTTTTTTGTTGTATTTCTTATGTATTATTTTTTGTTTATTCGTTGTATGTATGTAGGGTTGCATGTATGTATGTATATACACATACATTCATATATATATATATATAAAGGTGTATACATAAATGAACATGCATACATATATACATATGTATATCAAACATATATGTATGTGTAAATGCATGCATACAAACATACATGCATGCATGTATATATGTATGTATGCACATATATAATATGTATGTATGTTTGTATTTATGTATGTATGCATCCGGGCATGTATTCACATGCTTGCATACATGCACGCATGCATCCATGCTTACATATATACATGCACGCATGCATACATATTTGCGTACATACATGCACGCATGCATACATATTTGCATACATACATGCACGCATGCGTACATGCTTGCATATATAAATGCACGCATGCGTACATGCTTGCATATATGCATGCACGCATGCATACATGCTTGCTTATGTACATGAACTCATGCATGCATGCTTGCATACATGTTTGCATATATACATAACAAACATGCACACATGCAAACTTAAAACTTCGTTCAAAAACTCGTTGAATCGAATTTCCATAGAGGTAGAATGGATTTTCCAAAATTCTAAACATCCATCAGATGAATTCTGACAAAGATCTTTGAAAATGAGTTTGAGACCGATCGGATGGAAAGCCATATTTCGATAGAATTTGTTCAACGATCTTGGACAATCAGTTTTAAATCTATCATCTATTAATATTTATCACTCACCTACCACTGCGAATCTACACACAATTTACAAATATTTATAATTAACTCGATCATTGATCTAGACAAACATTGATTGTGCAGCTTATACGCACTATATCTTATCAAGAGCATATGATATGGCAAATCGAACGCTTTAAATTTTAAATGCTGAGTCACATATGGACGCCCTTTAAACACTGAGAGAGGCACTGATAGCGAAACAGAGAGAGCGAGAGGGAGAGAGAGGGATATTAAGATAGTGAAATAGACAGAGACAGAGATAGAGATTTAGAGAGAGGGACAGAATGTGAAAAGATACGATCGGATCAATATGTTTTGTAGTGTTTTTACCTACCTATTACAATACCCTATACCCCATAAAATAATGGGTATTATGGTTTTTGTATATGCAAATCTCTAAGTTGTACAATTATAGAAAAATGCTTCGATTTTACCGATTTAACCCCGAAAAAGACCCATTTTTATATAAAAATGTACCAAAATTTATAAATTTCCTTTTTTTATTTGAACATCAATTAAGTAAATCGATGGAACAGATACTCTTTGCATGTTTACTGTATTCCTGTCGAGTGTTAACAGTTTCGAAACGATGTTGATCAAACTGGGTATTACAAAGATATATCTTTTTATAGATCGCAACCTGCGGATTTTAACAATATAAATTATAAAGAAGTTGCGAATTTTTTATCAGAGTCTGCCGAATCGGAGGGGCTATCGGTCAAAAAAGTTTGCAATACTAAAACTTGTTTCTTTTAATAGATATCTTAACCAAAGTTGCCAATAGAGAGAGCTCTAATGCTACTCCCCGACATTGTACTGCAACATGATATATACATGATATATATACTATATATATTATATATATAAATAAACTTAGTTTTGCCGGGTTCTCAGTTGTTCCAAACTCAATAATTATTAAATTTTCAATTGTTGAAAGGAAAAGATAAGTTGTTGTAAAATGTAATCAAAGATCATAATTATTAACAAAAAAAAATATATTAAATAAATATAGTTTTACAAGGAGCCTTCTATAGGGTATCTATATATGCAGTGCATCCATTTGTCGAACTTAGAATCTCTCGCCCATGGGCTTGATCGTGAGCTCATGTATTTGGACATTCGGCGGTGTTTGAATGCAATAAGAGATCGCATCGGCGACATCCTCGGACCGCAACATGGGAAAATCGCCGACATTCTCCAAAAGGGTCTTGTCAATAATTTCGGTATCCACACCGCCGGGACTAATGCTCTATAGTGGCAAAAGCACAGTGTTAAACTAATCGATATAGATAGAGAGAGTATGTCATGTGCGACTCACTGTGATCTTTATTTTGGTGCCCTTGTTGAGGAACTCCTGGCGGAGCACCTCGGTCAGTGCGGTGATCGCATGCTTGGATGGCGCATACATATTAAGGCTCATATTCGGCACAATGGGCACCGAGTGTCCGGCAATGCTGTTCACGATGACGACATGTCCGTCGTTGACCTTGCGCCGCTCCAACGAGAGAAACGCCTCGCGCGTGCACCAGGAGACGCCGAGCACGTTGGTGTCCAGTATGGAGCGCAGATCGGCGCTGTTGCCCGCGCTGATGATTTTGGTGTGACGCACAATGCCCGCATTATTGATCAGCACATCGGCGCCGCCGAGCTGTTTGTCGATCCAGGCGAAGGTATCGATCACCTGCTGCTCCACGCTCACATCGCACTTGCGGTAATGGAAGCGCTTCGCCTGATCCGCGGGCAGCTTCGCCTTCAGCTCCTGCAGCCGATTCTCGCGACGCGCCAGACCCACCACGACCAAGCCCTTGGCCACCAAATCCTTGCAGCAGGCCGCACCAATGCCCGAACTGGCGCCAGTTACCACGGCCACACGATTCAACCAACGATCCATTTTCTTCAATATATTTATGTGTCCGGCTGGCAAGCTAACGACGCTTTGACTGAACGCCTATGTCTCCGGCGGCATCAGTTTTATAGCGCAACTGGTTCTGCGTGAGCAGCTGATCGCCCAGCCCGGCACACCCACCTGCCGGACCCCTCGCTGTGGCGAGCGTAATACGTATATGCAGGTATCTAAATGTTCGTTTCGAAAAGAGTCGCGTCATGCTGATAGCACTATAACCCACTGCCCACTTGATAGAATCTAACCTTGACTCGCTCGCTGTCTATTTGCTTGGGAGAGGGTCGTTCGGCTCCTCCTCTCTCTCTCTATCTCTCTTACTATCTAGCTCTCTGTGCGATTTGATGATTGTCCGAAATGGCTATCATTATAAGAAGCTAGTTTTGTAGCCCAATTTCGCAAGAGGCTAGTAAAATCAAGACGAAATTCGATTTTTCTGGAATGTTTTATATGAAAACAATCAGTTTCATTAAGTATATTTATACATATAATATATAATCATTATTTATGATCAGCTATAGTTATAAAAACTGATCATATCATTGTACGTTTTTCCTGACTAGAATGTAAAAGTGCGCCTTTGTTTCGTATTTGCTGATCTTTAAAAATATTGAAAAGATTTCTTTCCTCTCTCTCTCTCGCTTTCTCTGCCTCTCTCTCTGCCTCTCTCACTGCCTCTCTCTCTCTCTCCCTGTCATTCTCATGTGATCCATTTGAAAACTGGACTGTTTAGCTGCGAGGGTGTTCAATAGTCGGCTTGCATGAAAATATACCTTTTCATTGATATTCTCATTCGTTGACCAGATAAGAATTATATATATTGTTCCCCTTAAAAATGGCTGAAAGGGTATATTTGGCTTGTGGAAAAGTATGTAACAGGCAGAAGAAAGCATATATCACGATCAAGTCATGTTTCCCTACAAGAGGGGCTTAAGGGGTGAATTGGACTTGTGCAAAAGTATGTAACAGACAGTTGAAATCTAGATCTAACTAGCTGAGCTGTTTTGGTCATGTTCCCCTTACAAATGGGTAAAAGGGTATATTGGGCTTTTGTATCAGGCAGAAGAAAGCTATTTCTAGATATTTGTCTGCCCGTTTCAGCTATTAGAAAAGCTACGGACTTGAAATTAGAATTATATATTTTTTTAATATCATATTTTCACAATATCTCTTCCCAATTTAAGAAACCAATCGATCAAAATTGATTTTGAGACTTGTCTTTTTAGGCTTGTCTTCTTGGTATCCAGATTTTGATAAAAGAAAACCCTATTTCTTAAAGCCTTGCTTCTTGATAAATAAACACTTTGGTGTGAGATGCCTAAGACCTGAAATTGTCATGACGATCGGACTACAAGCTCCGAGGAAGTACAGCTGCAGCCTGTCCATGTTGAAGCTAAAAGCTAGAATGTTGGTTAAGGGTAACTGCACTTCGGACACACCCGAAGCTTACTTGTTAATTTCAATTTCATTTCGTATGCTTCTCATGCGAAATTGTTTGGGAATGTTTTTGCTTGTTGAAAGCTGAAAATAAACTTTTGATTCGTGACGCAATAAAACAAAATTCATTTAATAAGCATGACTTACAAATTCTTACGTATATTCTTGCGCCCAGTGTAGACGAACATACACGCATACCCATAAGCTGGTAGGCAATTAAAAACACGTTTGGCATACCCTGTGTTCGGGCAGCAAGGGATTTGTGATTCATGAGTGCAGTTGACTTTTAATGTTTAACTAGAATAAACATAATCTATTAAAAGTTGATTTAATATGCAGAATTTAATTTCCGGCTAGAGAACTGAGGCAGCTACAGGGTACAGCCTAGTCGACTACTCTACATATTTAGCTGGAAATTTAACGTCTCAATCTCAGTGCATTTTTGTTTAAGTACTGACTTAACTGACTTCTGTTTGAGGACATCTTCCAACATTTACCTGGTGGCTTCCTGTTTGTCTAGCTTTCCACTTGTCAAAAATAAAACACACTTTTTAGTGAAATACAATCATATATTATAATGACTGAACTAAAAAAAAAATTGTGATAAATATAATTTGACTTGGACCTTCCATATTGGAGCTATTATCTTATGTCATGCGAATAGTTCCGAGTCTTATACAGAGTATCTATAGCCTTGGGATGACCTTAGAACTTCTCGCCAATGGGCTTGATCGTGAGCTCGTGTATTTGAACATTCGGCGGTGTCTGAATGCAATAGGAGATCGCATCGGCGACATCCTCGGACCGCAACCGGGGAAACTCGCCAAGGGAGGACAAGTTGCTCGTATCAATAATTTGCGTATCCACAGCGCCGGGACTTATGCTCTACGGTAGAAAGCAGACATAAAGTAATTGTTATAGGGTATGTCAAGTGCGACTCACTGTGATCTTTGTCTTGGTGCCCTTGTTGAGGAATTCCTGGCGAAGCACCTCGGTCAGTGCGGTGATCGCATACTTGGACGGCGCATACATATTGAAGCTCATATCCGGCACAATGGGCACCGAGTGTCCGGCAATGCTGTTCACGATGACGACATGTCCGTCGTTGACCTTGCGCCGCTCCAACGAGAGAAACGCCTCACGTGTGCACCAGGAGACGCCCAGCACATTGATGTCCAGTATGGAGCGCAGATCGGCGCTGGACTCCGAGTTGAGGATTTCGGTGTGCAGCATAACGCCCGCACTATTGACCAGCACATCGGCGCCGCCCAACGTCTTGTCGATCCAGGCGAAGGTATCGATCACCTGCTGCTCCACGCTCACATCGCACTTGCGGTAATGGAAGCGCAACGCCTGATCTGCGGCCATGTTCGCCTTCATCAGCTGGAGTTGATTTTCGCGACGCGCCAGACCCACCACGATCATGCCCTTGGCCACCAAATCCTTGCAGCAGGCCGAACCAATGCCCGAACTGGCGCCGGTTACCACAGCCACACGATTCAACCAACGATCCATATTCTTAAGTATTCCTTCTTTCTGTGACCGACTGGAGAGCTAGCAAGACTTTGACTGAACTCTAAATTCGAGCGTCGAGTCACTTTTATAGCGCAAACGGTTGTGCGTGAGCAGCTGTTTACCTGCGCCGCCCCGCCACACCCATCCCGCCCACTGTTCGTGATGGGAAAGGTAAGACATAACATAGGTAGCTAAATATTTAATTTGAAAAGTGTCGCGTCATTCTGTTAGCGCAATTAGCCGCTGTCCGCTCGATAGAATCGAGCCTCGACTATGTTGTCTGCTTAGGGTCATTAGGCCTCTCTCCCTCTCTATCTCCATCTCTCTCGCGCTCTGAACAGGTTTAATAATTTGACACAACTGACTGCTTTGCAGATGATTCAAATGACTCACACATTCATTCGGGCTTCCAGTTCACATTTAAGTTGTATCTCTACCTAAGCCAACCAAGGGAGGTCTCAGATACAAATTAACTTTATGTGCGTGGCTTAAGAAAGCGCTTCAGAAGGTTGCCTCAAAGTGATTTTCAATGTATTTCACTTGAAAAATATTCGGGCATCAGTTTTCTTATCGATTGTTATTTTATGGCATGCTCTTGACCTTGATACAAGGCTCAAAATTGGGATCGTCAAGGTCAGGACTTAATGTCCTTGTTGACATATGCCATATGTTGGGTTTCTTGAAAATATCTTGGAAAACAGAACACTTTGCCATACTAAAACTCATTTTCCGATCAATTCTTGCTAAATTGCTTTATATAAACATTTAAGCAGCATAGTTTAAAAAGTAAATGCCGGATTTTGTTAAGAAATCTTGATAAACAATAAAACTTGTTTTTCGATAAACAATAAAGTCCATCTTCGACCGATCGTTCCCTTGGCAGACATATAATATGGTGAGATTGTTTGCTTACAATATATATTAATGAACAATAAAGTTTTCCATGCAAGAAGCTCCGTTTCGACCGATTGCTCCGATGGCAGCTATAAAGTAGTATATAATCCGATGTTGATCAGATTTGGCTCATATATAAACAGCATAGTTGAAAAGTAAATGCCTGGACTGATCAATATGTCTTAGAACCCAAAAAAAAAAACTAATCCATAAAAGAAGTTAGTTTTCTGCTTGTCCATAAGATTTTAAATATATAAACCTTTATATGCCGCATTTGTGAATTGTGAATCTAGCTTGAAAAACAAAATACTACTCCATACAAGAAGCTAGAAGGAGACTAGTTTGCTTAGAAAGAGACAGTCGGAGACGAGGAGAGCTGGACAGACGGACAGACGGACGGACGGACAGATGGACGGACGGACATAGCTGTATCAACTCGGCTGTTGCTGCTGATCTAGAACGTAAATGGATCAGATATTATCAGATATGTCTCCTTCATGCTCAAATTATAATATCCTCTGCAAGGGTATTCAATATATGCCCAATGGAAATGTGACCTTTTGAAGGTGATTTGCCGCCCTTCAAAAAACAAACGAAAATAAATCATAATAGATACTTCAGCTGAAAGTTAAGTTCTCTGTTGCCGAGCGTAATCCATGTGGCCCCGCATTGTGGACGCTGCAGACAATTTGGCACCGCCTTTTGGCCAACTGGATAGGGTAGCAGAAGCAGGGGCAGGAGCAGAAGCTGGAGCAGGGGCAGAGGCACGGGCAGGGGCAGCGGCAGCTGTCGTTCATAATTTTGAATGGTGCTTTTCGCGTGGCGAATGGTTATCAACTTTTACTGCAAGTGCAGCAAGAAATTGCATTTTGGCCCGTTCGATTAAAGCCAAGACCAGCCTGGCCCCGTCTAGGAGCTGCCGGGCAGCCAGCTTTGCGGCAAGTATGCAAATCCAGCCAGCTAGACGAGTTGCACGGCAACGGCAACGGCAGCTGCTGCGGCTGCGGCTGGAATTTGCTTTCTCGATGCCTGGCAACAATTGCAAAACAAATCTAAAGAGGAAACTTGGCGCATTGCATTTCGTTTTTATTGGCAACATGTTTGGCGGGGCCAACAAGTGCAATTAAGCCAAAAACATCAATAAACTGATGTGCATTGTGTGCGGCAGCCGCCAAGGCCGCGGCTGTGGCAGCCAACGCTAATTTTAAGGAGTCGGGTTAACGCCCGCGAATCGCAATCAAGGCAACTAACTAACTAACTAACTCACCAACAAATTCCAACATGCAGGGGGCAGGCTGCGGAAAGAGCCTCGTACCATTCCAGTTCAGATGCCAGTTGCCAGTTGCCAGTTGTCGGCAGGTGCTGGCAGCAGCAGCAGCAGCAGCAGGTGTCAAGTTTGCCAGTGGGAATCGCGTTAATTAGAAATTATAACGGGCTACATATCGTTGTCAGTCGCATCAGTTAAGAGATCTAGAAATGCACGAACATAAAACTTTCTCAAAAAAAAAATAAATTATATCCAGAAAAGTCAATTAAGTGCGCTGCGAAATGTTCAAGTTATTTACAGCCTTGATCGTTTCCCACATTTCGCACACTGCCCAACTGTTTGTCCCAATCTAAATGCAAGTTAACTATCTCTGCGCATGTAAATCGGCAAAATTGTGCTGAAATTCGATTTATAAAGGGGCTAAAAACGTATTCTTTAAGGCGACGTCAAGCAATTTAATGGGAATTTAACAGACTTTTGTCAGCTGCTTTAAAAAAATGTTTTACAAGCTGGTTAAAAACGTTTACAAGCTGGTTTTAAACTTCCTTTTTTTTAAAAGATAAAATGAACTTCATTGAAAAATGCTTCAAAACTGATCTTTTCACAGTCTACTTTACAAGCTGGTTGTAAGTTCCTGTAAGATGTCTTGCAACTTATGTAAGAAAAATAGCGTGAATATATTTGTAAATAACTGAAGCCTCGTTTATCTGTATTTACTTCAATTAGTGTCTGAGCGATATGCTCTATTCTATATAAGACTTTGCTTAAATTTTCGTATCTTTGTTCTTCTATTTTCGCTTACAGTTTAGTTTAGTCATAGCTGGTAATGAACTGTGGCCCATGGATCGGCCAGATGGTATGCCAAACATAGTTTCACTGGAGGTCATGTGTGGTAAGGATCACATGGACGTACATTTGACCTTCTCCAATCCCTTCGAAGGCATTGTTAGCTCCAAAGGTGCGTACGACAAGACCAGGCACTAATTATAGCCGAACTTTATTCAATGTTTTTTTTTTTTTTTTTAACAGGACAACACAGTGATCCGCGTTGTGTGTATGTGCCACCATCGACGGGCAAGACGTTCTTCTCGTTCCGCATCTCGTACTCACGCTGCGGCACCAAACCGGATCTCAACGGCCAGTTCTATGAGAATACGGTAAGTGGCACGTCCATTCACATCAAATTTAGCAAATGGGAATACGAAAGCGATCCTTAAAACAAGCTCTTATCAAATACAAACAACTTTCAACATATGATATTTGAGAAGAGAGTGATCGTATAGCATGGGAGAGGGTGATCAATAAAGATTTTGATCGTACATTAAGGGAAGATCGACAAACAGAGTGATCGTACATCAAGAATGGAATCTACCCTGTGGCTCGTAGATGAACGATCTGAAGTCAACGATCAATCATTGAGAGGCATCTTAGGAAAAGTAGTTGTACATAAATTACTACTGAAGAGTGATCAAGAGTGATCGAAATGCCATGATATTTGTGAAGAGAATACGATCACGATTTAAATACTGAGTCCCTTAATCATACACCATGCTATCCATGGGACCATCAAACGCAGCTGTAATTAAATGCTGGCAAAAGCGATCCTCGAATCTGTGATCAGTGCTCAGTAAACAGGACTCTTCAATGAAGATTCCCAATCATAAAGTTAGCTGCTGCTCATATGCCATAGCAAGCCCATGGGAGCCCATTGAGTTGAGCTGCATAACTGATCACTGATCGCTGATCGCTGATCGCTGATCGCTTTCCCACGTTGCTGCACGCTGTGCATTCACCTGCTCGAGGGCCATTTACTTAACCCGCTAACCGCTAACCGCTAAATGGCATATTGTGACCGCAGGTAGTCGTGCAGTATGACAAGGATCTGCTGGAGGTCTGGGATGAGGCGAAGCGTTTGCGCTGCGAGTGGTTCAACGACTATGAGAAGACCGCCTCCAAGCCCCCGATGGTAATTGCCGATTTGGATGTAATACAGCTTGACTTTCGCGGTAAGTAACGTGGGCCCTTGGCCTTTTCTCTTTCCTTTGCATACCCTGTACCCGTTGGCAAACGGGCATCATGATTTTGTGAACAAGTATGTAACAGACAAAACGATCAAACCATATCCGTCCGTATAAAAACTTGATAATTTATATTGATTATAAGTACGTCATTCCATTAAAATCTTCTTTTAACAATATCTCGAGAACTATAATTGCTTAACACATCAAATTTGGTATGCAGATATTCTTGAAGCATACACACATTAACCAACAAGAGAAACACAAATAGCACACAAGGCTACCGAGTTATTAGAAGCTAATTAATAAATATATTAATTAAATTAAAAGAAAAAGTATACCTCTTTCTTTTTACTTCTACTTCCGAGTGACCGAAGCTGTGTACAGGGTATCTGCTAGTCTGACAGCTCTTCTCGTTTACCTTTTCAATTAGCTGACCCCAAAAATTCGAAAAAATAACATTTTGTCTGCTGCTCTCTCTCCCCTTCGTCTCGCGCAGGCGATAATGTTGATTGCTGGATGGAGATACAGCATGGCAAGGGACCCTGGGCGCCGCCGGTGAGCGGCATTGTACCACTGGGATCGACGCTCACCCTGGTGGTGGCCATCAACGACTATCGCGGTAAGTGGCCAGCAGCAAATCGAGCAGTTCCTGCCCCCCAACTAACGAGTCTCTCTCTCTCTCTCTTTGTCTGTCCAGGTGAATTTGATATGCGCGTCAAGTCGTGCGTCGCCTCGGACGGCTCGGGACATGTCATCAATCTATCGGATGAGTTTGGCTGTGTGCTGCGTCCCAAGATGATCTCACGCTTCCTCAAGGCGCGCGCTCCCGATGAGCGCGCCACGGTCATAACTTACGCCTTCTTCCATGCCTTCAAGTTTCCGGATGCGCTCAGCGTGCACATCAAGTGCAAGGTCGAGATTTGCCGACACGGCTGCCTGGATCACTGCCAGAACACGGCGGCCGGCGAGGGCCTGGGTCCGGCCATTGGCAATGCCCACGAGCGCAAGGATGTGCACATCGGTGATGCCATGGGCAGCAGCAGCAACAATGATATGCACAGAGATCTGGCCATGCCGCCGGCCAACCTGGGTCACGGTCCGCAGCCCGGACACCACGGCCTGGGCATGGGCTTGGGCATGGGCATGGGCATGGATCATGACATCTTCTACGAGGACATCATACACGATCACAAACAGACCATGGGCGGCGGTGCTGGCGGCGGCGGCGGGCCTGATCTGTACGAGGAGAAGAGCGGCAATCTGCAGCCGCGACCCGTGCACGAGGATCCCGATGAGGAGGCCGATCTGTCCGATCTCTTTGGCGACGATGATCTGAGCGACATGGATGGCGACGGCGAGCGCTATTTGGGACTTAAGAAGAGCGGCAAATTTCCGCACGGCCCCCGCCAGCTGGAGGCGCAGAAGCGCATGGGCGTGCCCATGGCCGGACCGCGCTCTCTGGAGCCGAACTCGGAGCTGGATGATGTGCCGCGTCCCGTTTACCGGCCACAGGCGGAGGCATTGAAACAAACGCGTGACGATCACATTGATCTCGACGAGCCGAATGTCAACAGCTCCACAGAGTCGACGGCGACGCAGACGCAGACACAGACGCCGCAAGGCAGCAGCCGCCGGCGTCGTCGATCCTTGGTCATAGCGGATCGCAAGGTGCGCAGCGCCGATGTCGGCGTCAGCGGGCTGTACGATGTCATCTCTGAGGCGGATCTGGCCTTCTCGCCGGACTCCAAGCAGGAGGCGGTCACCGTCTTTCAGGGCAAGATCAGCGAGGAGGTCGTCTACGGCATTTGCATGCCGGTGCCCGGCTTCAGCATACTCTTCATCGTGGTCATCTCGGCGACCATTGTCTCGGCGCTAATCGCCGGCTCGCTGCTCTATCGCTATCAGCTGCAGAAGGAGGCGCTCGAGAAGCAGACGCCCATGCCCGTGCCGGGCACACTGGCCTCCTGGATGACGCTGCGCCTCTTCCGCTTGCGACACCTGCAACAACAGCAGCAGCAGCAACAACAGCAGCAGCAACAGTTGCCCAGCGCCGCTGCTGGCCATGAAACGGTGCAGTGAGGGATCGCTTCTAGTTCCCTGTCCCTGTCCCTGTCCCTGCCCCCTCAAGTCTAGCCCTAATCCTGCTGCAACAGTTTTAACTTATTTATTTATACTATATATATTTTTTTTGTTTTTTTTGTTTAACCACAAAGAAAATGTCCTACTGACTGGCGGGTCTTGCACCTGCACCTTTTCCAAACACAGCACAGATAGAAGACAAATTAAGTAAAAGAAGTAGCCACAAAGATAGAGAAGAAACAGAATGGAATGGAACACGTTTTCAGTTCAGTCGATCATTCGTTAGTTACCCACAAAACAAGCGAGGAAACGCAATGGAATGGAACATGCCTGCAATTGAGTAGAAACCGAATGGAATGGAATGCAATGGCGTTGATCAAGCTTTCTTTCACTCCTTAGCTTTGGAATTAAAATAGAAAACAAAATAGAATGGAGCATGAGAAACAGAATGGAATGAAACAGACATCCGACGATGTCCAAATTCGTTAGTTAGTAACAGCGAGAAAGAGAGCTGGAACAAAGCGGAATTTAGTATATTTTCAATTCATTCGCAAGTTAGAGAAGAACAGAAACATAATGAAATGGAACATTTCGTTAGCTAGAATAAATAGATCAAAGTTCAACATGCTTCGGCTCATGTCTGACAAATAGATAGAAGGGAACGGAATGGCATAAAACACGCTCGTGCTCACTTTAAATCCTTTTCAGTCCTTAGTTAGCCGCTCGGAAAGTGGGAAAAGCGAATGGAATGCGACGTGAATTGATTCTTGCGCTAGCTGGCCACAGAGACAATGTGGAATGGAACACGTATTCGTCCACTCGTTACTTTCTTACTCGTTAGTTTTTTGCTCTCGTCAGCTTAAACGGGCAACATGGCAATACTTGAAGGCAATCGGTTGGTACCCAACACGCCCAACTGATCCGATAGAGAGATGCGTTCAATGTCCCGATCAAGTGTTTTTTTTTTTTTTTGGTGCTGCATAATATTTATATATTTATGTGTATTTTTTTTTACTGGGTGCATTTAGTCGTAAAATCTGCAATAACATAAACGAAGAATACAAATAACAATAGAGTTTGCCCAATATATAAACGTATTTCTAAATAGATCAACGCACATGACTAAAATTAGGGGACAATTATTTATTTATTTACCTTACACTCTATTAAATCTAAATATTTGAAAAATGTTCGAAAATATTTCAAATTTCTATCAACAAGTCATTCGAATGCGGCGTTTAGCAAATTTTAAGCGAAATTTTAGATAAAATTTTCAACTTTTTCATACATCTAAATTCACATAGATCAGCAATAAGGCATACATAGTGCATTTATATATGTACGCATACTTTTGGCATGATTCTCTTTTGTCTGAAATTTAAATTGCATATTTCTGATCTATATGAATTTGGCCTTATGTACTTATTACCTATTTAAACAATTAGTAAATTATTATTAGAGAAATTGAATTAACAAAACAAACGAAAACAAAACCACAACAAAAAAAACAAAAAATAAAATACAACAAATGCAAATCGGTTGTCAAGGCCAAATAATTTATACAATCTTTATTTAATTAACATTTTTTTAAATTAATACTCGTAAAGCTAAAGAAAAGTAAACAAAACAAAACTCTGACAATTGTAATGAACTAAATGCAAAAACAAAATAAATACTTATAGTTAAGATTAAATATACTATAAATATGATTAATGATGCGTCTTTAATTTAACACTGCAAGAAATTACCCGGCGTTGTCTGGCCCAAATGAAAGTTAAGAACTTAACTTAAAAACAAAAGCTACAAAATGGAGATTTAACAATTGTATAAGACTTGTTTTCATTTTATCGATATTTCTGCATCATCATCCGATTTTATCATTTGATCGATATTTATTCATGCACATAATATCGATAAAAATCGTTTTATAAACTTGGTTTTTTTAAGCATAACTCGAAAATTTAAAGAGCCAGTTGCATTAAACTGGCTATTCAGGACATCGAGTGGGATATGAATAAGAATTATTCACTGTTCTGGATACCCTCTCCCATGTCCCCCAGATAAGGAAAGATGGAATCTTGGCCCTGACATAAAGATTGGTCTATAAATACCAAGGGTAATCAAGAATGCTTTCTGAAACAAAGCTTAGACAAAAGTTATGAAGAAGCAGATTTTATCATCAGCTGGAGCTCGGAATAGCCCTGCCCAAAAGTTTTGGAATATATTCACTTTATTATTTTTAAATGACGCTCGAAATTTAAAAGAGGCTTATACACCTTGGATGGTAATAAGCCTAAGACACAACTTTCGCTGCATGCATTTAGGCGGCTAAGAATGCGTTTAGCAGGGTTGCCACCTTGGTAAACCTGATGGAGATTTGATAACAATTGTTCACACCTAAATTTGACATACACTCTGATATGTAGTTAAACAAAACTAAGTGCAGCAACAGAGAAAAGCTCCTTCAGCAGTTTATCATAAAGAAATAAAACAACATAATATAACTCTTTTATAATTGTCGTTTATTGGTTTTGCTCGTGCATACATGCAATGCTGTATTTGTAATTCGTACATTTCGTAAATAAGTAAATAGATAATTGGATATAAAGGTTATGTAAGTACTCGTACGCTCGGTATTTGTATTATTCAGCTAAGCAATTCAATTAAAGTGTCCGATATGTGTTGTTATAAACGATTTATTGAATACGTTGTTTACTTAATTTCCTTTTCTGCTTGCAGGAATTACAATTATAATAATAATAATATTAATAAAAAAAAAAAAACAAAAAAAAAACAAATACTCGTAATAAAAAAACGGGTTATGTCGGATTCAACTAGGTGGTAAAATAAATAAATAAATAAATAAATAAATAGAAGTATAAATTAGATACGCTCCATATGAGGCAACAATTGTAAATAAACCAGTTGTTAAATCAAGGATCAAAGGGTCTGTGGATCAAAGAATCGAATCCGGAGCTTAGACTAAGTTTAAAACACTTAAAATATTTAGTGACTAATTGAAATACACGCACACATATGTCTAATGCGTGCATATAAGTATAAGCATATTGTAAGTATATGTATTAAGATAGTCTTAAGAAGAGTCTATAACATGTGGGTCCAAAAGCTCAAGTGCCCGTTAAAGTTATCAGCAAGTTTAACATGGACTTTGCCAGTTCGTCAGCAGAACAGAGCTGATATTTGAAGAGCTGTCAGCCTTGCCACCTTGCTGTACGTTGCACTTATGGCAACAACGCACCAATTGACAGGCTAATACATGGCGTTGCCACACCTGCTTAACTCTAACTAGCTATGAGCATGGACCTTAAGAGAGAAGGATAGCAAGAGAGACAGTTGCATGAAAGGGACAGAGCTGACAGAGCTGATAGAGTTGCCAGATTGGCCATATGTTTGAACTGTGAGCATTGGCTTAGCACCGATTTAAAGTAGAACCTAGACTTAAGCTAAAGCATATTATAAATTGTGTTAAATCTTCTTCTTTTTCTTTTTTAATTGACTACCACCAACAGATAGAAAGAGCGAGAGAGAGCGAGAGAGTGCGAGAGTGCGAGAGAGTAAAAGAAAGAATGAGCAAGGGCTGGGATAAGTGTTGGAAAATTGTTGGAATTTGTGGAAATTGGAAATGGGGAACCCAGTTAACGGCATGAACTATATAATTATTGAAAATTTGTGACAAACATTAAACTAATTAATAGCAATTAGCAAACTTGATGGCCCAAACTAGTTCAGGCGGGAAGGCGGAAGGAATCTGAAACGGAGATGGATCATACCGAACGTGTCGCTCATGAGAGCGCCCGCTTCTTGGAGAGCGTGCCCGGCAGTGCATCGGCCGGCGACGGCAGATGGATGACGGGCAGGGCGGCGGCCGCCAGCTGTGGATTCGTAAAGGCGACGGCACGCTCCTTGGCGGCGAAGCTGGAGAAGGGCCTCAGGCGTACGTAGAGCACCGCCGAGATGAGGCAGGATGTGACCAAAATGCCAAGCAGCACAATAAGCGTAATGGCAAAGCCCGGCGTGGTCATGCAAATGAGTCCCTCCTCCCTCACCGGGAACACCATGGTCTGGGGCAATGTGTTGCTGTTGTTGGTGCCGTTGCCATCGCCGTTGCCGTTGCCGGCCGCCTGCTCGTCAATGGCAAAGGTCAGATCGCCTGAGGACACCACCTTGATGATGCGATTGAGGCCCACCTGCTCCGTGGTCTCGGCTACGGCACGTGCCCGTCGCTGGACGCGTCGCTCGTCGCGTCGCTTGCCAATGGCACTGGCCACATGATAGGCATCCACATGCAGCTGCGGCGGCGGCGGACCATATTGGGACTCGGGCCCCACCTGCAGATGGTGTACATCCTGCAGATTTGTCTCGGCGCTGCACTGATCCGGGCAATGGTAGCGACAGATCTGAATAGTGCACTGGAAGTGCACCTCCATCGAGTCGGGGAACTTGAACGCCTGGAAGTGGGCATACGACAGCACCGAGGCGGATGCGCCAAAGTTCTTGATCTTGGTGAAGCGTGACATCAGCTTGGGTCGGGTGACGCAGCCGCGCTGATCCACCAGCTGGATGGGCGCACGTTTGCCATCGTGGGCGACACAGTTGCGCACAAGCATATCGAACTTGGAGTCATCATCCTTGATGGCCAGCACCATGGTCATGGTCTGGCCGATTTTGACCAGGCCGGAGACCTCCGACGCCCAAGGACCCTTGCCCACCTGGATTTGCATCCAGCAGCCGACATTGTCACCGGCAAAATCAGCGCGCACCACATCCAGCATGTCCACCGGGAACGGCCGGAAGGTGACGCTCTTCTCGTACTGATCGTGCCAGGTGCAGCGCAGCTTGCGCGCCTGATCCCACACCTCCTGCACTTGCGGATCGTACTGGATGACAATGATGTTCTCAAAATAGGTGCCAGCGCCGGTACCGCCGCCAGCCTCATGCCCGTAGCCCTGATTGTAGTTGTCAGTGTTGCCGGCGGTGCCGCATTCGTGCAGTCCAATATCAAAGCTTGCCGAGCTGCGGCCCAGGCCGGAGGGCAGATGGACACAGTTCATGTTGCTGTAGTGGCCCTTGGAGAAGACGATGCCATTGAAGGGCTTGTCGAACTGCACAAAGACCTTCATGCCGCTCTTCTCGCACTTAACGTCCAGCGAAACGATCTTGGGCATGTCCTGAACGGGCGAGGCCCAGATCTCGTTGTTGCTGGAGGCGCCCACGCTCAGATCGGGCAGCGATTGCACCTGCACCTGCTGTTGCACCTGCTGCACCTGCGGCGGCGGCGGCGGTGGTCGCTGTGGTGCCGGCGGCGGTGGTCCCTTATAGAATTGTGCGCCCGGCGGCGGCGGTGGTCCAAACGGCTGCCCAAAGCTCATGGGTATATTCTGATGGTTGTTGCCTGCATTGAAAGGGATTTGATTGATTATCTGGTTATGTGCTTTGCTGGACTTGCTGCAAACTCACTTCTAGCTGGGCCCAGGCCCAGGCTGAGACCGGGTGGTGCCTGCGGCGGGCCATTGTGCTGGTAATGCACCTGCACCTTGGGCCCCGACATGGATTGTTGCTGCTGCTGCAGCTGCTGCTGCTGCTGTTGTTGTTGTAGCTGTTGCTGCTGCTGTTGCTGCTGCTGCTGCTGCTGTTGCTGCTGTTGCTGCTGTTCCTGTTCCGATTCGAGGGCCATTTGATCCACCTCATTGTCTTGCTCGCTGAGTCCCATGGAGAGCTCATCGTTGCCGCCGCCAGCGATTGCCTTCACCACCTCAACCTCATCCGCGCGGATCAAAGCGAGCTGCACAGAAACAGAGTAAATGGGTCAGCAAAGCAGAAGAAGCAGAGCACACACACACACACACACACACACTCAGCGCATGGCAAGAATTTCAACTAAGTACAATGGGAGCAGCCACATGTCGCATGCCAATTGGCAACTGGCGAATGGCGAATGGCGGATGCGACTTGCGATTCAATTGCATAAGGAAAACCAACAACAACAACAACAACAAAGGAGAACAGCGCAAAGTGTAACAATTTCACTTTTTTAGCATACATATATATATATATATATATATCTATTTTTCTCTTTCTTTCTTTCTTTCTTTTTGCTAGCATCTCAAGCGACCCAATTGGCCCAGAGATCCGCCTTGGCCAAAACGATGTCAAGGCTAGAAACGGGGAGCAGCACAGAACCGGATGGAACACTTGGATCGTTTGGCATCCAAGGTAAGCTAATTACTTGATCGTGTTCAATCCAGCAAATCGTTTTCCATTGATTATTTTCCTGATAATCCTTAACTTGTTTTCTATATATTGTTTTTAGCTTAAGACTGCAACTTTTGCATAGTTTTCGAAAATATTTTCTAAACATTTTGTTTTTCGCTCTGAAGTTATGGTAATCGTGACTTTATGAACATTTTCTAAAATTATCAATATTTCTCTATTAAAGCCAATAGCTCATATCTCAGGTTACCTAGCATCATAATACTGCAACTTGGGAGGAAAGAGTTTCGAAACCGGAAACTCTTTGTTTACTTGCACAAAAAATTGCAAATAATTAGATAACGGTATATTAAATATCTTTGCAGATAAATAGAGAGATAGATAAATAGATAGATAGATAGATAAATAGCTATTCGATTTGTCATTCTGATCTGAGCCCGAAATCTCTCTCTTATGTTTATCGAATCGAAAAAGTTAACTCGGTGTATAACTATAATGTATAATATAATAATATATAATATTTATGAAATATTTTAATAAGATTTCGATTAAATATAGTCAGAATTATATCTGACAGACAGACAAGTTGAGACTAAATTGAACCAGTCTTGACATGGAATACCATATATAAGTTTTGGGCGGGAATCATGCGAGCCAATATAATAACATATTATATATATATTAATGTATATATCGATTATTTTTGTTTTTGTCTTTTCAGATGTAGAGAGAGAGAGAGAGAGAGAGAGAGAGAGAGAGGGAGACAAAGAGAGGGGGAGAGACAAGTGTAGAAGCGACTTAACATTTGGCAGACACTGTAAATGCCAGACTGTCTATCTGGCCAGCTGGCCAGAGAGGCAAGCCAAGTATTTGCTTTGGACCAAACTGTACCGCGGGCCCAAAACAACTTTCTCCCAGCATCGGCTTCAATGGGGATGTCACATAATCAGCGCGACGTGCTACGCGGTGGCATCCTGGCCCAATCCTGTTTAAGGTAGAAAGTGATGATGCCCAGGCGGCAGACGACAATAACAAACACATACACTCAGATAAATTGGCAAAACGAGTTGCAAAAACAAATTCTAAAAATATCAAAAAAAAAAAAAAAAACACCAAATAAATTTTGCATGCCAAGTCGGCAGCGGGAACGTGATTTGGAGCAGCCCATGGACGACGAACATGAATAATAACGAGGAGAACCAGGGGGTAAGGGGGCGGGGGAAGAGAGAGGAGTAGAGGCTGGTGTCTCATTTCGATTTTAGATTTTGATGATGCACGTGATCCGGTTCCGCAATGCGATAGAACGCGATGCCGCTGAGTAGCATCAAGAGCTGGGGGAGAGGGGGAGAGACGGCAAGCTGTGTGGGCGCAAGGCTGGCTGCCGGAGGGGAGGGCTAGAGGGGCAGGGGTTGGTGTTTTTAGAAGGCCAGCGCCTGTGTTAATAGAAATGTGTGCCAAGTTTTCCATTTTGGCGACGGGCAATGCGCAAAAAAGTCGTGAGCTGCTGTTGTTGTTGTTGTTGCAGCAGCAGCAGCTGCTAATGCGACAACTAATGATGCGGCAGCCAGAGCCGGAGCTAAAGACGGAACCAAAGACAAAGCCAAAGACGAGCCAAAGCCAAAGCTGAAGCCAAAGTCAATGCCGGCTGTTGTTGTTAATCTTGACCTCGACCAATGCTGAAATGTCGAGTTGCCGTCTGGCTCCGGCTCCGACTCCAACTCCGAGAGAAAGTAAACGTGAAAAAGCGTCGACAGCAGCAGCAGCAGCAGCTCTTCTCTTGTCCAGAGAATGCGAAAATCTTATTATTTGTTTTTTTTTGCCAGCACACAAAAACCTGGACAAGATCTGGCCGATGGTTCAAAGTTGAACGCAGCTGAGGCTGGGAAAAATGAAAACAAAAATACCAGAAAAAAACAAAAAGATGAAAAAAGGAAGAGTTTTTGCCAGCGGCTGTTGAAGCAATCGTGCAGCCAAGGAAAGGGAAATCATTTTCGAGCCCACGTTTCAATTGTGTCATAGACCTGGCAATGAGGAACGTGGAAGAAGGAACGCGGAACGCGGAACGGGGAACGGGGAACGTGGAACGCGGATCGCCCACTTGATGCGATAAACAGCCAAATCTTTGCTTTCTATGAGCTTGTGGGGAAGATATGTTTAGTGGAAATCATGGGAAGATGTATAAAACATTGTTGAGTTTTTTCAAACTTCAAGGCTAAAGATTATTCATATATCGATTTTGGTCTGAACGATAACATATGACTAGGTAAAAAAAACGTATGAGTTTGTAAACGTTTTATATCTTAAAAAAACAGAATGTAATTGATATATATATATATATATATATATATATATATATATATATATATATATATATATATTTTATCTTATTTTGTCGAAATTTAGAGACTTTCTTATTAGCTGGAAATTATGGCTAAATTTGTAGGCATATTTGCATGATTTTGCCAGGCTTTGAACACCCAATATAACAGTTCGAATCTGCGAAAATTCTGGACCCAAAGAAAACAAACAACTTATCGAAAGCAATCTTTCATCAATCGAAGCAAATCTCCCATCGATAACTAATTATTAATCAACTATCGACTATCGATTTTTATTTACAATCCGTAATCAATTATCGATCAATTATCGACTATCATGATAGTCATGAATGAATCGTTTTGTAAACGATTCTTTGATATTCCATAGAGAACTAAAATGCTAGCTAGATGATATACTTTATACTCATATCATATATTCAGGCCTTAAGATAAATGTGTCTATCCATAATCCTTTTTCTAGAGAACCCAAACTCTTTTCATTTAGCTGACATGGAAATAATAATCGTTTGAAAATTAAGTTTCTTATTATCAATCTAACGATCCAAGATTGTGTCTATGTCTGCCAGGATATTTAACCTACGAAATTTTAAAGCTAACTTAAATGAGAACGGATACAACTTAAAGCTACTTTAAAGTTCGATAAGTCGAAAGCTCTTTCAATTCACACAAAATGGCGCTTTTCGATAATTATCGAACTCGTCAAACTAAAAACAAACAAAATCTTATTAAAACTAACGATCCAGGCTTGTGTCTATGTCTGCCAGGATATTTAATCTACGACATTCCAAAGCGAAGCCAATTTTTAGATGCTTTTAAGTCTCTCTTTAAGCTACTTTAAAGCTCGATACGTCGAAAGCTCTTTCACTTCGAACACAAAGGCGCTTATCGATAATTATCGACAATTATCGAACTTGTTGAATTGCCAATTATTTATTGCACCTGCTGTTGTTGTTGTTGTTGCTGCTGCTTGGCATTAGCTACAATTGATTTAAATTATGTGTGTGTGTGTGTGGCAGATGAAAAGGAGCTTATATTGTTGTTGTTGCCGTTGTTGTTGTTGTTGTTGTTGTTGTTGCTCACCTGCAGTGAAAGGAAAATGATAAGCGGCAGCCAAATCTTTTTGATCCCCAGACGTTGTCGACAGCTTTGGGAACGCATTTGTTGTTGTTGCTGCTTTAAGATATTTGGCTGTTGTTGTTGTGGTTGTGGTTGTTGTTGTTGTTGACGTTGTTGTTGTTGTTGTTGTCGGTGTTGTTGCGGCTGCTGTTGATGCTGTTGCTGTGAGTGTTGCTGTTGTCGCTGCATGTTGCTAGCTGGCACGTTGTTGTTTGTTGTTGTTGTTGTTTGTTGTTTGCTGCTTTTAATGTTGTTGTTAATGTGCATAAACTGCAATTAATACGTTATTTTTGCTGTCATGTGCGCGCTTTTGTTGTTGCTGTTGCGGTTGCTGTTGTTGCCTGCAATATATTGTTGTTGGAAAGCAAATGAAATGAAATGTGGCAAGAAGAAGAAGCAGCAGCAGCAACAGCAGCAACAACAACAATTGTTGAAACACTAGAAAGTGTTTACTTTGTAGCTTTTCACAAATGTTGCTGTTGATGTTGTTGTTGCCGCTGTTGTTGCTGTTTGTATTATTATTTCTTATTGCCGTTTTCGCTTTCAGGTGTGTGTTCACTGCGTGTGTGTGTGTTTTAATTTATTGCTATTAATTTTGCAGTTAAAATGCCGCTTGACTGATTGACTGATTGACTGATTCGTTTGATTGACTTGACATTTATTCATGCGCTCATGTGGCTGACAGTAAGTTTCACCTCTTCCCTAGCCGCTACCCCTACCCCTACCCCTTGCCCCTTCCCCGTTGCCCATGCCACACTTACAGCAGGTACTTAGTGCTGCTGCCACGCCCCAAATTGAAAACTAAGCTGCCCATTGGGCAACCAAATTGAAAGTAAAGACAAGAAGAGAAAAAGCATTAAAAAAAGCAAGTGACAGGCAGCGAGAAGAAGCAGCAGCAGCTCTTTAATGACAACTTATTCACCTGGTCAGGTGCTGGCGAGGTGAAATGTGTTAATAATGTGTTCCATCAGCCAATTGGGTCACCGTCAACAGGCCCAAGACAAATACGAGTCGAGCAATTAGAAAACTTCAAGACTGACAAACTGCAAGACTCAGCTTTGAAGACTGAAGACAGAAGACTGAAGACAGAAGACTGGCCACTTTCAGTAGACCAGGCTAAAGACAGACGGTTGATGCAGGAAGTAAAGAGCGTTAGAGCGGGGGGAGAGGGGGGAGAGGGAGGCCTGACATGCCCATAATAACCATGGCCATATACCATGAAGATAAAGCGGGAAAGGGAAGGGCAGCACTCGTATTCCACCCAAATTCCACTTGGACAAGTGACATTATTTGAAATATCACTTCAAAAGAAGCTCAAGCATGTGTTATTCAAGTGCTATTAACTATCATATGTGAAATATTATATCACATTTTAGGTTTATAACGAAAACTAAACTTTTTCAAAAACAAATACATACGTTATATGACAATATACATAATGTAATATATACTATATCTATTCTCCATCTGTAACTGCATATGTATCTCTGGATTCTACCAAATTTAACTGTCTTTGGGTTCATTTTCTTGTTTGTTCTTATCAATATAAAGTTATTCTTTATAAATGTCAAAGTCGCTTTAGCTATATTTCCTAACACTAAAACATTTTTGAATCTAACTTGAATAGTCGTTATATAAAGACTTTATATATGGATAATTTCCTTCAAAATAAACTACATTTTACTATATTATCCAAGAGTAATGGTTATTATATCGGACAGCTATAAAGTGTTATGACTATTTTTACTAGTTAGTGGTACAATTTAGAAATAACACGACCTTCTTTGACCTTCGGCTTGGATATTACAGAATTGGTATTTTCTTTTGGTTTGTATTAGATCTAGATTTCGTTTGTTTTTGTCTCTATAATAAAACTATCTAGTTACAATCAAAAATAATGAAACAGAAGTTCTCAAAAATTTAATCAAATTCAAGGGATCTCTTGTATCTCTGTAAGGATATTTAACAATTTATATAAAAAGGCAAAATAGACATCAGATGAAAGCTTTGGCCAATCTTCTCTTCTTCATATAGATAAGATATTAGTCTACCTGGACAACAGTTTGAGTGCTCAGATAATAATATATGGATAGAGAGTAGATACTTGTTTGTTGACAGATATTCCGATAATAATAATATAATACTCTAAACAAGATATTACACACAGAATATTAAGAATTATTTGAACTCTATTGGAGTATTGTTTGGAAATTCTAGTTTTTAAATCCAAGAATGTTTTTTTTTTTAGATTAATTTATTATTTTATTTTATTTTTTCATTTAATACTTTATTTTGTTTCTCGAGTTCTAGACAAATTATGCATAAAAAAACATACCCAATCCAGAAACGTGTCTAAAATATTTTCTAAAAACTTATAAACTTGTTTGCTGCGATTAACTCGATTGATCCTGCTTCGACTAGGCTCTCAGACTATTAGATTATACAATCTCTGAATCGGATTGAAGTCAAGTCTGGCTGAGCTGTTCGACTGCACCCACTGACCCCAATTGTGTGTGGCGGGTAGCCCCGTGCAACACTTACCTGTGCCACAAGAGCTCGGCTCCAATTCCAAATTTGATGCAATGCCGAACAACAGGATGTGCTCGATGCGACTTTCGAAAGCAGTTGTTGTTGTTGTTAGATGTTATTGTTGTTGTTGCTGCTGTTGTTGTTGTTGTTGTTGACAATGTTGCCGCTCGGTAGCTGCTAATTGCAGTTGTTGTTGCAGTTCGAGTTGCACGCGGCCAATTAACGAGATGCAGCGGGGCGCGCACACAGTTTAAAAAAAATATATTTAAAAATAACAACAAAATTCCAAAAAAAAAAATAAAAATTATGAATGAACAGCAAAAAAAATGAATGAAGGACACGCGCGTTCGAACACACACAAAGCACACTCGCGCA